CATACGACGATGTACTCCTTACTCAAAAGTAATAATTATTCCGGCTCCCGTCTCTGCGAAACTCTTCCATTCTTCAAACTCTCGCGAGATTGCCGTATCTTATTGTTATTTTTTGGGGGGGGGGCGTTGGGGGGGGGGGGGGTCTTATGGTCTAACGCTTTCACTGACAACCCCTCACTCTCCGCCCCTCGGCCAATCTCCACTTTCCCTTTGGCTGGCGATCCAATTGGTCCGATCGGCTCATCAGCGAGGAAGACTTCCTAACTCGCGCATAGCTGAGAAGCGCTTGATCGTTATCGGCCTTATCCCTTCGCAACTCGCTGATTCTGTGCAGCGACAAGCGCGCCCTAAACAACCTCGCAGAAGGAGCGACTTATTCCCTTCTCGCGTTTCGCGTCTTTTCGGTATACAATTCGTGACGCCAACAGTCTGCTCGTGCGACGTCATGAAAAAAAACGAGCTCTTGATTGGTCCGTAAGAATACGAGGGATATTGGTGGGGCATTGTCTCCTACACCCTGCTTTGTCGTGCAGTTCTACGCCACTTCAACCTTGTATCACGTGGCTGTCGTGCGCGGTCAACTGATTTCACTTGTTTTTGCGCGTCTTCGTCTCCGCAAGCGGAGATAAGGGAGTGTAGCCGAAAAGCGTTTAAATCCTGTAACGCTCAACGCTTAGTGCTCACATCGTCCACGTGTTTTATGAAGAAATAGGTGGCGAGGAGGAGACAGCGCCTGTAACAAGTGTAGTGAAGGCGAGAAAGAAACCACTTTCTTGTATTTGCGCTCGGAGTGCATGCTTCAGGAGCCCCTCACGAAAAATATGAAAAAAAAATATGTATTTCTTACGCACGACTCTGTTTATATTGAACCTTCTCTCTATGCAACGCCTTCCCTCAGCGCACTTAGGGGTGAATTTTTAAATACGTAATTAGCACGAAGTTTTAAATATAAGTGGAACGAAACTTTAGCGTAGTGGCTGAATATATACAGCGCAAATAAATTCGGTGGGTAAGGTCGCATTTACTTTGCGTCGCGTTTATGTTGCGTCAAATTCATCGTGATTGCAGGCGCAGAGCTATACGGTTATGTAGCACGTAGGTCGCTACATTAATTTCGCGCAATGTTTAGGTCCTGCACGTTCAATTAACGTGCTACAAACAAATCCTAGCAACAGTTCTAGATCGCACAACGTTGCGCAAAATGCGTGTATCACTCCGACAACATCGCACACTGGGCGAGTTGGTATAATATATCTTCATAATGGCTGGCAGCGCGATAGACACATATACGTTTACATAGACACAGACTGTCAGTCGAAGTTTATCGGTTCATCCAAACAGCTTCACTTGATGGTCAGCGCCGTGTTGAGTCTATTTCGTTGTGTTTTCGTCTGTGTCTGTCACGCTGTTAACCATTATTACGTATCGCTTCCCTGCCTCTCTGCCACGGTCCGTTGCCAGCGACAGCTTGACATCGCACAGTATACTGCTGCATGGATCTGCCCGCATAAGCTTCAGCATACAGTCCATCTGCAGTGCATGTGATGCGAAACGGTATGCAGCGGAGGTACAATGTTTAACAATTCAAGACGTCTGCTGCCCTCATCGTAATTCTAAAGCTAGCTTATCCCCGAGGCTATTTTGCGCATCTCCTGTAAACGAAATCTTCTTTCTTTTTTTAACCGTCATGCTTGCCCATGTACAGCTTTTCTTCTTCTTTTTTTTTTTGCCTCACAATCTGAAAAATGTGGCGTCGCTTCAAATATTAATATACCTCACGGCATGACTATAAGCTACACCGTATCGTGGGAGTCTCCATATTCATTTCGACATCCTGGAGTTCCTAAAAGTGCATGTAAATCCCAGTGCACAAGTCTTGCGTTGCATTGCGTGGCCCCCTATCTGAAGGCTGCTGCCCCGGCCGGGATGAACAGAACCGACATCACTGAGGAACCTTGCATATAGTAAGGTGAATGTCATAACGCCATAGCCGCACAGCTTTCGTGGCGTATGTCGCATGACTCTTACGCTGAAACCATGCGCATGCGACAGCCACTCGCAACTTTCGCGTGTATATGCCAAACTGGTACGTTCCGGCATTCCTAGACTTATTGTTATTCGTAGAGCGGCTGCTCGTTGAGCTTTACGTCAGAGAGCGTGAGATCTATCTATCTATCTATCTATCTATCTATCTATCTATCTATCTATCTATCTATCTATCTATCTATCTATCTATCTATCTATCTATCTATCTATCTATCTATCTGTCTATCTGTCTGTCTATCTATCTGTCTGTCTATCTATCTATCTATCTATCTATCTATCTATCTATCTATCTATCTATCTATCTATCTATCTGTCTGTCTATCTATCTATCTATCTGTCTATCTATCTGTCTATCTATCTATCTATCTATCTATCTATCTATCTATCTATCTATCTATCTGTCTATCTATCTAATCTATCTAATCTATATATCTATATATATCTATCTATCTAATCTATCTATCTATCTATCTAATCTATCTATCTATCTATTTATATCATTTCAATTTTATTTCATGTATTTTCCTCTCGTTTTTTTTTATTGCACGAACTTCACCACAATGATTCAATGCCTCATGGTAAAACACGGAAGGAATTCCCAAGAACCGGAACTGGGAGAACGCGAGACTTCCTTTCGTCTTTCACATTTTCTTCCACATTCCTTAACAGCTGAGATCTACTGCGGATCAGCTTGACGTTGCGCCAGGCGTCAAGACTCGCGAGTGCTAAGTGCCGTGAACGTATAACAAGGCCTGGTTTTCTCCTTTATGCTTGCATTCCATCCCACAGTAACTTTGTTGTCGCTCGTCGTCTCTCAGGCTTTATTGGTCTTTTTATCCTTTATGCTCTCCCTCGGTTTTTTTTATTCTGTTTTGTTTCGTCTAACTTTCTCTAACAGCTGCTTCGTCTTCTCGCTCTCAATGACGCTTTCGGGGTGTCGCAAAAAGTTGTTTTGAAGAATTGTAAAAAAAAACAAAAACGAGACAGGCTATCTTGTTATATACTCTCGCCGAAATAAAGAAAGGACATCTTGAGGGATGTGAGTAGCCCACTCCTTTTCTGGTCTGTCTCATCTACCTCTTCCTTTTTTTTCCCCTTGTCTTCAGTTGCCTTCTTTGAAGCCATCAGGTGGCTCCTTCTTTTCTCGTTTTTTTTTTCTTCTTGAAGCTCAAGCTCCGCATCCTGTCGACTTAAAATTTGGGAGCCGCGAAGTCTGAACAATCGCGGTGAGAGCCGACGCTTCGGGCCAACAAAGAAACGCGAGAACCGCCTCGCGCGCACTTAAGAAGGCGCATGAACGACGGTCCCCCAGTCGTGCTCCTTTGTATGGCGCATTTTCTCTGCAAAGCTCAGGGAGAGGGCAGATAAAAAAACTTCGAAAAATGAGCCCGGTGGGCCCAAGGTCTCTTCTCATCAGACGCAGCTATCTATAACTTTGCCCTTAGGGCCCTGTCAAGCTTAGCTTTAAGAGCGTAAGCGTTTCTACGCCAACCCAATGAGCAAGCCTATCCGTCCGCCACCTGATGTGGATCGTTGTCGATTAACGCATAAACCGAGATGAATAAGAAATACAATAGACCTATGCGCAGTAGTAGATTTTGAACCAATGACCCCCAGGCTCAGGTACTGCGCGTGCCATCTTTTCTCTGGTTACAAACAGGCCCGAGAGGGCTTCCGGTTTTGTCAACTGACGTTATTTACTGGTATTTACGGTGAGAAAAAAAAACTTTGGCAAATTGACCGCACATCAACCGTTCTCTCTTTTTTTAGCCAAATATTTTAATAAGAAAAATACTCTTACAAACTATACGCAAGATTATAGGAGGCACCTTTGCATTGTATGCACATTATTTTTGAAAAAGGCCCTGGCTTCTAGCCTGGCAGGAATCGGTGTTCAAACGCTAAGTGCAAGTGGTATTTTGTCGGCAACGCTACGATCAGACAATGTTCACAGATTACAGGGCGCTGAGATTAAACAGTTGTGAATTGCTCACCACGCCATAAATCACCACATTGCGAATCATCGAAGTATACCGCAACGCTTGCGTAAATTAATACGCGCGCTCACGCAGCTGTACATTGCGTTGATTCTGTGGCTTATCAAGATGATGAATTGTGCCCGGGTTTCGTTTTTTTATGGGTAGACTTTTAAACCACCCAAGAAGCTGTATCGCAGTTCATAGGTTGTTTTTTTTTATTCTTACCGGTTTCCTCTTACCACATGCATGGTGTAGAGTAATACCGAATGTCGTGTGTCATATCTGCCGCCACGTCAAGTGAAGCTACCTATGGAGAATAAAAAACAACAAACGAACGCCTTATGTATGACCTCCGAGATTTCGGAAGCGCCCGTCGCCACTCTCTAAGCATTGACCATTTGAGTATGGCTCTCTTAGACGGTGTCGAATTTATACGGACGCGCTTTGCATTCGAATCTTAGGGACATGAACCTAAGACAAACAAAAGCGTCAGTTTGGGGCCAACAAGCTTCAGACCGCTTTTGGGGTTGCGGCCACGATTAACGAGCGCGCGTTGCGCACTTCACTCCCGGTATTCCGTTTTATGTGCAAAGAATTTTTCATATAGCGGATTACCGGACCGACTAAAACGCACTTTGTGATGCCTGGTGTAATTCTGCGCTTCTGCCACACACTATAACATGTGTCAATGCTCCCTGAAGTATGTGATGCCTTCTGACACACTTTCGAGCACTGGTGGAACGCTACGGTTGAACATTTGTGGTCGCATACAAAATGTCTTTCTTTTTTTTATTCTGGATCGAAGCTCTGACTATTATTATTATTATTATTATTATTATTATTATTATTATTATTATTATTATTATTATTATTATTATTATTATTATTATTATTATTATTAATCTCGTAGCGCTTCACAACCTGCACCCGTGGATCGCCTCCGACCGACGATGTTCGTTCTGGCCGTCCTTGCAGGTGACTGCGGCCGTGAGCATCGTTCCTCCCACTTGAGCATCGTTCCTCCCACTTGAAGATGCGCGTCTACGTGCTCCTTCTTCTGGTGGCCGTGGTGCTTGTGGCGCTCGTGCACGCGAGCAGCGCCAAGCGGCCGCAGCACGGCGGCGAAGGCGGCGTCGAGCAGCACGGCGCCAAGAAGCACCACCACAAGGAGCGCCGCCACGATGCCAAGCACCACGAAGGAAAAGGGTACGTGCAGCATGCGTGTAGACGCTTTCAAGGTCACAAGCTTTGTACCCGGTCACCTCATTTACCAGTTCCTGACATCCAGACTGAAAGCACGTTCTCAAGTTTTTTTCTTTTTTTCAAAGGTAAGGAAAGTCTCTCTATAGTTTTTCAGATAAAAGGAACGTGCGTAAAGTTTGAAGGAATCCGTTATCATTTTTATGTAGCTCAAAAGAACATTTATTGGAATATATTTTGTCAAATAAAGGAAGGAAAGTGTAGAAAATGAGCGAGCCATTTTCTAAAGCTCTTCTTGTGCACCGATGCTATTAAGGCTCATCCGCGGGCTGAACCAGATGCCATCAAGGGTCTGTGTTTGTAAACTGTGGAAGGGTCTATAGTACACTCGTGGCCTCTGAAATAGGTGCGGCACCGTTGCGATCATCTCGCCGACGACAGTATAAAGACATATTTCATCATCATCGTCAGCCTGACTACGTCCACTGCAGGACAAAGGCCTCTCCCATGTTCCGCCAGTTAACCCGGCCCTGTGCTTGCTGCTGCCAATTAGCTGCTGGGGACTGATGGCCGTGAGTTATTTGACGTATGCATGTGGGAGGTAGTGGCCAGATACTGCACCAGGGTGGCCAATCCTTCTCTGGTGAGAGAGTGCGTTCCCGGCGGGGGTTACCGGTGAGGCCGCCCCCCAGGCCTCTTAATGCGGTTCCATCAACACGCGGATTTTATTTTTTAATCCAGTTGGGAACTGCGCGGCACCGGGATTTGAACCACGGACCTCTTGCATGCGAGGCGGATGCTCTAACCACTACGCCATCGCCGCACCCTATTTACTAAATATGTCAGTAAAGACATATTTACTGTCCTCTTTTTTGGGTGATTGCATGGTGTTTTACAGCAAAAGCTGTGTATGGCTAGGGGAAACGAAAAACTGTCCGGCAGAGGTGCCACGAGCAGTCTTCAATGACTGTCCTATCAGTTATGCGCCTTCATTCTCAGCATCGTACTGAGGCATGCGTGCCATTGGCTACGATGTGAGTGACGTCGTCCATCTCGTCGCAGCCGTGGCGCCGAACACGCGCGCATCAGTTTCTTCTGAAACCTTCCACATGGGTGTGCCACGGACAACTCTACAGAAGAGAAGAGTCGCTCGCTGGATTCCGTGCCGATCGGTTGTGCCCTTGCGATCTCCGATGACAGTGCAGCTCTGGCCAACTGGGCTGGTCCTACGCCACCTCCTGACGCCGGTCCTCTACGACGACGACAGCGTAGCTCTGGCCGACTGGAATAGCCCTACGCCATCTCCTGTCGCCGACAAGTGCTCTCGCCAGTGTTGCCCGTCCTCGGACTCCCGCAACCGTGTCCATCGTTCCTGTCTTCTTACTTCCGTCGCTCCCTGTCCCGCGCCTCGCTCTCTCCTTCCTCTCTTCCTCTCTCTCTACCTTTTGATCCTATCCTTTTATTCCCTTCTCTACCCCAATCCCTCGTGAGCTACTGTTGAGTTGTCCTCCCCCTGAGAGGCAGTTACGGTGCTCACTTTTCTCTTATTTTCATTTATAATCACTCCCCGCCCCACCACCCCCAGAAAAGCGCCGACAGTGGAAACGTGAGGGAGCTCACATTCCCCGGGACGAGTGGGCTGTCCGGGCACAAAAATACAGGCCCTGGAGGCCGAGTGCCGGCAGCAACTGCGTACCGATGATCCGGCAGCCTTCCAAGCCGCGTTAAATTACGAAAGGGAATGCAAGCGCTGGCGGCGGGCGGATACTGCAAACCACGCCTCCGAGTTAGCTCGCGATGTCAAACGCATTGCAATAACGCCGCGCTGAGCGGTAAATGCGTGGTTCTTGAAGGGAAAAAGGCACCTAATTTCCCTGCCTGCCTATAAGCGACACGGCGCAGTGCCTACACGGAACAAGTGGCGTTCATAGGGGTGAACGCCCACTTTCGGCGGGAGTTTCTCCAGCGGCATTTTGGCGTCAGCTTCGACGCCTGTGGTTCGAGAACAACCACTGTGATTAACGCACAGCGAAACGCATTTAATCGCTCATTACAGAACTCCATGAACGTGATCATGTGAGGCACAATGTGTGGCATGTGAAATAAACACTGTGGTGAACCCAAGCCAATCGCGTCTCTAGCCTCATTAAGAAGCACGAACATGTAACCAACGATTGTGAAATGTACCTCCTCTGTTTATTCCTCCTTCAGTGCAGCGTCGAGTTGAATTCACTGCTAAATACCGGGGCCGCACGTTTGAGCTTCCGCCGACTAACCATTTGTACGGAAAGCTTGGCCGGTGATTTCTTTCCCATGTCTCCTAACAATTTGCGGGCGTTTCACGACGCCTTGGCATTGAGGTTCACTTTATACACCAAAATATTCAACCGTCTCCCGCATACTGATTGAATAATAGAGCTTCTACTACAACTCCCCAGGTAATCAGGCGAATTCGTTTCCTGTTTCGGGTTTATTTTGATTGTGACAAATAAATATCAACAAAACGCAGCTGTTTCGCGGAAAGCTGGACGCAGACATCTCTCTTTCTCTATCGCGCGCTATCTCTCTCACTCACACACACACTCTCCGCAATAGATGCTATTCAGAACAACCGTTTCTCCGTAGACGTCATCCGTTCTTGTTTGCATAGCCGTACGGTTACTGTACGTAGAAGAACACACACACACACACACACACACAAGAAAAGTAAATAAGCGAAGCGCGAACTGTGCGGGGCAATAAGCAGAGTACGACGAGAGAACACTCGACGAGAGGAAATTGACGTTCATGCAAACAAGCCGACTGACGTGGACGACTCCGGGGGCGCACACTCAGTGTGTCCACACACATTTCCCCAACGGCAGTCAACTGCGCGACGTTCGGCATGTACCGTATTTGCGCGCTTCTATAGCGCGCACTCGGGTTTTCGCGGACAGAAGTGACAGAAAGTGAACACAAGGCAGACAGAAAATAGCTGCCTTCTTTTTTTTTTTTTTCCTCTCTTCAGCAGCCACGAATCCATCGTTCGGCGCAGCATTTTTGCAGGTGTTTGAAAACGCGAGCTAACCCGGCGGCGTGGTTTGCAGAATCCACCCGCCACCGCCGCTTGGCGGCACGGCTGCGACCAGATGGACAACGTCACTCACAACGCAGCCAAAGGCGTGCGTGCTTGGGTATACGATGCTGAGAATGACGTAAATGATAGGACAGCCAATGGAAACCGCTCGTTACACCGCTGCCCTACAGTTTTTCGTTTCTCCTGGCCATGTACAGCTTTCGCTGTAAGAACATAGCGTGGTGGGCACAAAGGTACCGCGACTCCCACAGCTGCAGCGAGGCGAAGATTTGCCTGCAGTTGCTCCCAGTTCTCTGACAAGCAGTTCCAGTCAAACAATATGCGGTGGCAAACTGTCGTGACAAGTATAAGCAAAGCCAAATAATGCGGCATTAGCAGCTATTAATACGCTTCGCATGACATCGATTCCCGCAACGCGTCACATCGCCCGGAATTTTTGCAATTTTCCTGACGATCTGTAACACAATCAACCAGGACTGGTAATAGTACTGGTAGAAGTGTTATATTCCAGTGCTATGGAGATTTTTTTCTCCAGAATCCTGTGTTTTGTTTTTTTGAATTCAGGGCACAAAGAGATAAAACTGTGGCCGAATTCACACAATGTCTCTTTCGTAATGGTGTATCCAGACTACGCACCGACTCGCGGATGGCCGAGTCAGGTGACAGTAAGAACTCGCGTGGCCCGTCCGCTTGTCCCGTACACACGCGCAGTCCGAAACGGCAGGAATAAGTGTGGCAGCTTGGGCTAGTTGGTATGGCATGACGATAGTTATAGCGCGAGAACAAAACGGCGACACAGAGACAAGAAGGACACGAAAAACACGAGCGCTCGTGTCTTTCGTGTCCTTCTTGTCCCTGTGTCGTCGTTTTGTTCTCGCGCTATAACTATCGGCATGAATAAAGCCCGGGCCGAGGACCGTTCCAACCGCAAACGATTCTGCGCGCCCGCATTCAAAAAATGCCCGCAAGTTCGACGTTCCCCCGGTGTACTCGGCTGCCGAAAAAAGAAAAAAAAAACACTGTTGTTGACACCCCACCAGTCCGAGCGCGCGGCCCGCCGCCAAGGACGGGGGTGGGTGGTCCGTGAAAATGTTTACGGCATTGTTGGTCCTTGTGGCCCGTGGCCCAGCTACGGACTCCCCCAACCGGAAGTGGAGGGTCACGCGACGGCGAGGCGTGGGCCAAAAGAGCAGTTTGGCCCTTCGTCTGGATGAACCTTAAAGGGGCATTCCCATTAGAGATCCGGCTTATGCTATGTCTCGCAACGTGATTGCCTTAAAATTTTTGTCAAGAAGATATTCAGTAAGTTTCTCTCTCTTTTTCTCTCTCTCTCTTTCTCTCTCTCTCTTTCTCTCTCTCTCTCTCTCTGTGTGTCTGTGTGTGTGTGTGTGTGTGTGTGTGTGTGTGTGTGTGTGTGTGTGTGTGTGTGTGTGTGTGTGTGTGTGTGTGTGTGTGTGTGTGTGTGTGTGTGTGTGTGTGTGTGTTTTAATGCGAATCCATATCTTAGTCGGGCAAAATCAGGCATCCGGCGTTGTCCGCGGTGGTGTCCGCATGCCGGCAGGTGCTATCTCTTTGCTCACACTCTCCTTCCCATAGCAACAGCTGCGGGCGCGGGCGCTTATTCTCGCCCCTAGCAACCAGAGCATGTCTTGCGAGAGAGTGTAGGGAAAGGTAGGTGCAGTGATTCATCGCTCTTTTTCTCACCGTTTGCTTTCTCTCCTCACTGCGCCCCACTTTCTCGTCCACTCGCGCCCATGGAGAAAGCTCGCGCCTCACTCTCGACTGTTCGCTGGCTGGGCGCTTCTGAAGAATATCGGGATATGTGTGCTCGAGACACAGCAGCAAAACGCCAACGCCGAGACCAGAACGCTGGCGCCCCGCTCTCCCGTCCGCTCGCCCCTCACTCTCCACCGTTCGCTGGCTGGGCGCC